CCCCAAAACCCCAAAACCCCAAAACCCCTAAGGCATTATACTCCTTTTGCAGAAGTTAAGATAATTTTAATAAAATTGACAATAAAAATGAACAATACAGACAATTCTGAGAAAATCTAGACCTTCTATAGAAAAAAGACTGGCACTGAGGCTACTGAAGAGGAATTAGGTACAGACATTTTAAATTCTAACTATTCATGTAGATGAAACCATGAGATAGTATAAGTAAAAGAGGCAATAAATCCTCGACTTGGAAGCCAAGATGCATTTTTCTTACGATATGGGGGAAACTCTAACTGAGGATGATAGACTAGTTGACCAAATCCTTAACAAGATTAGAAATAAGTATAAAAATGACTAGATCAATATTATTATTCACGATTTCTTCAAGAATTAGGTAAGTAATAATTATGAAAGTTTTGACTTGATTTCACAAAATATAAATGCACCAAACATATCTATTTAAGATACTTAATCTTATTTTGATGAATAGAAAACTTTAAAAGATAGTGAACTCTACTCAATACTTGATATCATGCCAAAGGGAGGACTACATCATTTGCACACAACTGCTGCCCCATCAGTTGACTTCTATATCTAGCTTACATACAATGAAGCAGTGTACTTTAACGAGAGGGAAAAACTCTTCAAAGTTTCACCTGTACATTTTATTTCAGATCTAAACATATTTAGAAAGGACTAGATGAAGATGGTTACATAAAATGCACTGAATTAAGAAGATTCTCAGCATCAGCCGAGGAATTTGATTAAAAACTCAGAAACTATATCAGGATGACTCCAGAGGAATGTGCTAGTAAAGAATCTCATGAAATATGGACTCATTTCTAGCACAAATTCACACTTATCAATGGTAAACATTTTTATATTTGCATATCTCTTTAAGATTTTTTTTAGATCTTGGCAAGTACAAGGACTTTTTTAAGTTAATACTACATGAGGTCCTCTAGAAATGCGCTGCATAAAACATCTTCGTAGTCGAGTTAAGACATATCTTTGGTATGCTTTTTGACGATGATAGAAATCCTGTTTCATTGGAAGAGGAGATTAAATTGATAGATGATTAAGTTAAGCATATTCAACAAGATATTCCATATTTCAGACTTAAACTTATCATCACTGGTTTGAAGATAGTTGGAAAGCAACATATCAGAAAAATGATTGCTAACATCATTGAGGGTGAAAAATACAGTAATCTAATTGCTGGCTTTGATTTGGTTAATGAAGAGGATTTCAGTCCACCTATCCTTGAATTCTTAACAGACATAATGGAAGGAAAAAATCTTGATAAGAAGAGCAAGATGCCTTGCTTCTTCCATTGTGGTGAAACACATGACAGAACCAACCAAAACGTATATGATGCCTTACTTCTCAATTCAAAGAGAATTGGTCATGGATTCCAATTATTCTTGCATCCTCACTTGCAATAATAAGTTAAGCAGAAAGATATCTGCATTGAAGTCTGTCCAATTAGTAATCTATTGCTTGGCTATACAACTGATTTGAGAATTCATCCAGTTAGATTTATGCTTCACAGAGGGCTCTAGGCATCAATCAGCAGTGATGATCCAGGTTTCTTCGGTTATGAAGGCGTCACTCTTGACTATGTTTACGCTTTTCTAGCCTGGGATCTTGATATCAAGGATCTCAAAAAACTCTCTCTAAATGGAATTATATATAGTTCATTGGACAAAGAGCACAAGGATTACTTAATTAGCGATGTTTTCGAAAAGAAATGGAAAGAATTCATAGAGATCGTCCTAGAGAAATTCTAGGGAGCCTGATGAATATCGCATATCTTTTATTGATTAAAATACCTATTAGATTCATACATATTTAAACCTGATGGGGTTTTGGGGTTTTGGGGTTTTGGGG